TGTGGGGGGTGGGTCGGGAGGGGCCGTTTCCAAGCTCCCAGTAGCTTTCTTCAAGGGCCCTTTCAGCTGCTCCATGAATTGAGAGAGATACACACACATGGGTGGCCCTTCTACATCTTTTGGTGTCTCTTCTTAAGTCTGGGCAACAGAGAATCAGTCACAGGTGCACTGGATTCTGCTCCCTCTTCGTGGAGCCAGTCTCCCAGTCACAGTCACGTAACTTTTACCTCTGTCACTGTATTAACCTTGTATCAAAGGCTCATTACTAAACTACTGCCAGGTGTGTATGTGCTGCAGTGACTCAAAATGTGCAGGGAAAGGATAACAGGATAGGTCTGAACCCATCTTCCTTGAGATGGGGAGTGTCTTTCACATCAGGAAATAATTGTTGGTGACAAAGTCTTGGGGAGCCTGCACTTCCCCTGCACGTGGTTACTACTTGACTATTTAAACTAGGACACATCAAGAATTTTAAGACCATGACACCAAACCTTCCAATAGTACAAGGAAGGACTAGATAGGTCCAGAACATTCTAGAGGGATTGTGAAAAATGAATCCACACGTGGAATGCCTGAAACATTTTACTCCAAACATTCTATTTTCCTTTTTTTCACTAATGAGAAAAGCAACACCCTGAGCCTGGCATCCCCTACATCTAGGACCCCATAAATCTGGCCCTGTGTGCATTTGGAGACAGAGGAGTAGTCCCAGAGCTTCTCATTCAGTTGCTGTGAGTGAGTGAATGGGAGTTGGGGGGGACCTGAGGTATGGCACAGCCAATGCGCTGCTCACCTTGTTTGAGTGTTAGCAGCACACAGGCAAAAGCAGCTCAAACCATTGCTCTGGGCTGCATTTTTCAGGGTGTTAGTCTGCCCTGTTTTATCGTCATATTGGCAGCTGATGGTATGTAATTGAACAAGAGTGGGATGCTGTCTGCAAAGTGACTGAAATGCTGCTGGCACAGCGGAGAGCAAAGCTGGGCACATGACAGCAGCCTGGTGGATCTAGTAAAGATATGTCCAGTGCAAGGTCCACCTGTCCTAGCCCTCTCCTGTTCTAAATGTGTCTTTAGGTTGTGTAAACTGAAGTAGCCTTTTATAAGAAGTGAATTGTAAGCAAACAATAATGTGCAGTAGCACATTGAAAGAGACCCTGTACCATGCTTTCAAAATAGTTGAGCACTCACTATTCACATTGAAATCAATGGACTTTGCAAGCTGATGAACATCTCAGAAAACCAGGCACCTGGTAGAAGCAGTGTAACTTGGAACACAAGGCTTCACTCCTGCATTGAGTGCTAGCACAGACCTGGACATGGTGCCATACTAGAATATAAGAACAGCCATACTGGGTCAGATCAAATGCCCTTCTAGCCCAATATTCTGTCTTCTGACAGTGGCCAATGCCAGGTGCCCATGAGGGAATGACCAGAACAGATAATCATCAGGTGATCCATCCTCTGTCACCCATTCCCTGACAAACAAAAGCTAGGGACACCATCTCTGCCCATCCTGGCTAATAGCCTCTGAGGGACATATCCTCCATTAATTTATCTAGCCCTTTTTTTTAACCTTGTTGTAGTCTTGACCATCATAAAAGAGCTAAATAAATTCATGGGATTCCATTTAAATCAGTGGGATTATGCAGTGCATGGGCATTGGCAGTGCTCGACAAACTGCTGCGAGACCTACTCGCCAGCCCCGCACATGCGCCAAACCGGCACTGCGCATGTGCGCAGCGCTGGTGAATGGGGCGCATGGAGTGACCGGCTGAAATCTACTCGCCATGGGCATTTGTCATGGTTTGTCGAGCCCTGGGCATTGGTGTCAACAGGACACAAGTCTTAGAACAGGTTAGTGTATATTCTGAAAAGCTCTTTACCCCTCCCCCCTCACTTCAAAAAAGGTGTTTGGTACATGAGTCATAGATTTGAAACTTGTCATCTCAACATCTTGTACTAAAGAGTCTCTCTCTTAGCTGTAGCTGTTCTAATCTGTTCTTTTTTGAGGCACCCACACTTCTTCTTTTTCATATATTTAGAGCTTTTATAGGACCAACATTAGGTGGATTCCTATATGAGAAGGTGGGGTTTGAATGGGCTGCAGCCATACAAGGAGGATGGTCATTATTAAGTGTAAGTAAGCTATACTTGCTCTTATTGCAGACTGCAATTGTAAAATATTGCACAGCTATGACAACTGAAATAATTGATGGCTGTTTCTTTAAAGGCACTAGCTATTGGAATATTCTATATCAGAGAGACCTTACAAAGAAAAAGGTACTGTGAGATTTTTATTTTTTAATTCATTTCAAACCATATATAAAGGTTTTCATTTAGGAAAACACAAAATCAACTTAATAATAAAAGAGACTTTAAACACTTCTGGGGGCACAGAATACACTTTTTGTTTGGTTTATTTTGCTTGTTTGTCTTTGCTAAATAATGCTAATATTATGTATGCAAAATGTATCCAGAAGTTCTGTTATACTTCGCTTTTTTTCTTCTTTTCCTTTTCCTCCACCCAAACAGATCCAGCCTGCAGACTCCACCAGGCACAAATGAAGAAAGAGCTCACCTTTTGGCCAATGAGACATAGTCAGAAAAATGTATAGATCACTATCCATTTTTTGTAGTTAAGTTAGTGATGAGAAGAGCTGACTTCACATGCATGCACGTGGTTGTACGAAAACATACTGCTGCATAATTCGAAAGCTGAGGAGGAGATCTTCCTATAATGCATAATGAATTATGGTTTATTTGTGATTGTAATACATTACATCATGTCTGTCCTGAAACTTGGATATTAAATATTGAATGCTTTCTTTTGGATGTTCTTGTTGTACATTGGTTGAACTGTTAAATATCATATATCTAACTGCTTATCTGTGTTCATTGTACAGTGCCCTGAAGAGCAATTTTGCCCACTGTGAAAGAATTTTATTCAAGGATGCTCTGCTTTTGTATCTTCTGGGAACTGTCCTATATAGTCTGCCACTACCATATTTTTCTACAGGCAGTCCCCGGGTTACGTACAAGATAGGGACTGTAGGTTTGTTCTTAAGCTGAATTTGTATGTAAGTCGGAACTGGTACATATTGTAGGGGAAACTCTAGCCAAACATTTTTTTTAGTTTTGGATAGCATAGGGAAAGGTTAACTCCCCTCTAATGTTTGTTTTGCTGTCTGTTCCCCTGTTCAGAAGATTTCACATCTATTTCTGTCCCTGTGACAAACTCAGGACTAAAGGAGTAACTCATCAAATACCAAACAGCTCTGCACCATGCTTTGAGCTAATAGCTTTATTTCCACACACCACCCAGGGTTCTAGGAGGAGGGTCCTTTTTTTGCTAACACAATGAGGCCAGCACTTTGTTTGTTTTGGTGGAGTCTTTGTTTGCCCAGGGAGCCCAGCATGTATAGGGGGAGGAGGGGCGGAGAGGCTGCTTTTGTCTGCTGTTCAATACCAAACAGCTCTGCACCATGCTTTGAGCTAATAGCTTTATTTCCACACACCACCCAGGGTTCTAGGAGGAGGGTCCTTTTTTTGCTAACACAATGAGGCCAGCACTTTGTTTGTTTTGGTGGAGTCTTTGTTTGCCCAGGGAGCCCAGCATGTATAGGGGGAGGAGGGGCGGAGAGGCTGCTTTTGTCTGCTGTTCGGCAGCCT